TCAGAGAATTTGAGTTCTCTGGGTCATGTGATAAATAAGATGGAAGACTAGACATTTTCTCTTATCCTTTCAACCTCTCAAACCTCTCCAAAACAGAAATTATGGACCAAAGATAAAGAAACTTCATCTGTCCCTGTGCTTTAGGACACTGGAATCCAAAAGAAAGTAAACAAACAAACAAACAAAAACTAAACCCGTGAATTGACTCCTGCATTGACTCACTCAGCACTCCTTCCCCATGCCCCGTGCTACCAGCAATGAGCCTGCACCAGCCAACCCCTATGGGCTCTTAACAAAACCTGATCTATCACTTCAGTCTCCTCTCCTTCTTTCCAGTGCCATGGAGATCCTGGCTGTAGGCTGTAGAAGTCTCCTTGGGCCAGGATAGATAGCCAGTGCCCTCCAAAGCACTCTAAACTGCGAGAGTTCCCTGGGACCACACCAGCCAGTGATGTAGTGGGCAGCCTTCTTTACTACAAAACTTCCTTGTACAAAAATATTTTTGGCAGCTCTTTTTTGTGGCACAAAAAATTGGAAATCAAGGGGTGCTCATCAACAGGGGAATGGGTGAACAAGTTGTGGTATGTGGTTGTGATGGAATACTATTGTGTTGTAAGAAATGATGAGCAAGATGGTTTCAGAAAATCCCCAGAAGCCTTAAATGAATGGATGCAAAATAAAACAAACAGGACTAATGGAACATTGTACACAGTAACATCAACGTTGTAAGGATAATCAATTGTGAAAGACTTAGCTACTTTCATTAAATCAGTGATTCAAGACAGTTCCAAAGGTCCTATGATTCTTATTCAATAAAATCCAATGACTCCCTGATAGGATACAATATAAACTCTATTTTTTTAAAGTCCTTCATAAACTACTCCCAACCTGTCTTTCCAGCTTTGTTCTTTATTATCCCGTTTCCTGCACTCCATGATTCCTACAAACTGATTTCTGTTTATTTTTCACTCTCTCCATCTCTCATCTCTGTTGCTTCAGCCTGGATGGTGCCCATGCCTGAAACGCATTCCTTTATTATTCCTGCCTCGTAGATTCCCTCTCTTCCTTCAAGACAGAATTCAAGCACTACCTTCAACAATTATGAAGCCTTTCCTGATTCCCTCCCAACTGCTAGTGCCTTTACTGTCTTGTATTTAATGACCTTGTGTCTATTTATTTTGCTTATATTGTATATATATTATATGTATATGTGTATATGTGTGTGTGTGTATATATACATATATATATGTATATATATATGTACACATATACACACACACACACACACATATATATATATAGTCTTTCCAGATATAATGTAAACTCTTTGAGAGCAGGGACTTCATAAATACTTGTTGATTGGTTGATTGAGGTAACACAGGCTTTGGCTGAAAGTAAGCCTTCTCTGTTTTAGAAAGGGTCTGATAATTATTTCTGAGGGATCTAGTATTACAAAATTTTTGGAATGATTCCCTAAACTGAAATGCTTCAGTTGCAAAAACTGTTAAGAGCGGTGATGATACACTGTTCAGAAAACAGGGCACTGACACTCATCTGCTGGCAGCCTACCCTAATGATAGAGAAAGTCACCCAAATATTTCAACTTCTCATGTGTTAAACTTGAAAACTTTGAAGACATTAAAGATCCTAACTCTGTTATTATTTCTGAATATTTCACTTCCAAGGAGACCTGTAAAACATTGGGTTCTTAAAGGCATTACTTATTTCTAGCACTGTATAAGATCACTGCACTTGGAGTCAAGAGGGGTCTGTGTTTTTATTCCGGCCCCTGATGCTTACTAGCCCATGGACAGGTCACTTAAACTCTGAGCCTCCATTTCCTCATCTGTAAAATGTTTAAAAAAAATAAAAGCAAGGCGCCTATCTCATTAGTTGAGGGGATCAAATAAGATAATGCTTTGCAAACCTCAAAGCATAGTATAAATATTAGTTGTTATTTTCAGCAAAGCTTTGAATTTACCATTTTTACTACCAGCAAAGCTTGTAAGTTAATGCAATAATCAAATGGCAACTAGAGGAAGAAATAGTAGCGAGAAGAATGTAAATTATGTTCAAATAGGGCTACTCCAATATAGCATACTTGATAGAGTGATGGACTTAGAGACAGGAAGACCTGGATTTAAATCCTGCCTTTGACACGAGTTATGTGGCTAAAGCCAAGTTATCTAATTTCTCTGAGCTTCAATTTTCTCTTCTGCAAAATGTGGCTAATAATCCCTGTAACTCCTATCTCACTGGATTATTGTGTGACTAAAATTTTGTTTGTTTTGCCGATTTTAATGTACCATGTAAATACCAGCTATCATTATCATTTTGTTGTTGTTCAGTCATTTTAGTCATGTCTGACTCTTCATGACCCCATTGGGGGTTTTCTTGGCAAAGATACTGGCATGGTTTGCTATTTCCTTCATTTTACAGATGAGGAAATTGAGGGAAACAGAGTTAAGTAACTTACCCACAGTCACACAGCTGCTAAATGTCTGAGGCCAGATTTGAACTCAGGAAGATGAGTTTTCCTGACTCCAAGCCCAGCACTCTATCCACTGTACCACCTAGCAGTTCATTGTTATCATAACTTTAAAATATTTTTTAGTAATTCATAAAAATGATTTCCTTGGTTCCCCAAATCTCCAGGTATTAGGTCCCAGAAGTTTGATAATTGGCTTCTACACAGCCCTGACATTGAAGTCTTAAAAAAAAAAGTTGTATTGGTGCCTTTTGTTTTTCATACCACAGATAGTTTTCAATATTCCTCCTACCCCAAGGAAATCCTCCATTATCAGAAGATAAAATAGTTAAGTAAAATCAACAGACATATTTTATACATAGACTATAGACTGTGTCTGATAGCATATAAAACATTCAGCACTCCCATTTCTCTCCTTAACTAGAAGTATGTTTTATTGTCAATCATCTTGAACCATTGGTCATTGTCTTTAATCTGAATTCATCTGCCTTTTATTGTTGATTCTATTGACATTATTGTAGTGATTTTATTTATTGTTCTTCAGTTTCAGCTTTCTTTGCTTGGCATCAGTTCATGTGAATATTCCCATGTTTCTCTGAATTCTTCATACTCATTCTCACAGTGTAATTATATTCTTTTACATTGATATAATACATTTGTTCAGCCATTCCTCCTTGCTGAAGTGCCCACTTTGTTTCCGCTTTTTTGCTACTATGAAAAGGTTGCTATAACTATTTTGATATGTTTGGGACCTTTTCTTTTTGTCTTTACCTTCCTTAGGGTGCATCCTCAGTAGTGGCATTGATGAATGATAGGATATTAAACCATTTAGTAATTTTTCTTACCTAATTCCACATTGTTTGCCCATTTAGTAATTTTTCTAACTAATTCCACATTATTTGCCTGAAGGGTGCAATTGATTTGCAATTCTATTGACAGTTCACTATTAGTGTGCCTATTTGGTATGTGAATTTTAATTTGTCTGTTGGGATTTAGGCATTGACTACTTAGGACAAACTGACCTGGAGATTGTATTATGATGGCTCTCATGCACTATAGGTACTAACTTCATACTGTCAAAAGCAAGTGGGTACGTGGTCATTAACTTGTTTCTGTGTGGCATGTTAAAGGTTTTCATTCTTGCTATTTCTACAGTTCTAGCAATAGCCTCACCATTAAAAAAAACACACAAAAAAAACCCTTCACCCATGTGAAACAATTCATTAATCTTAGAACTCACCTCTTGTACTTTAATATTTAAAAGATTTGTGGTTTCATTTACATGAATCCTCTCTCCAACAGAAATGGCAGTTCCTCAATATCTGTTTTTATGAGATACTGTGGAGAAAAGATTGTCAGCAAGTCTCCTAGTGAAGCGATTCTTCACACTTAGCCAGGCTTGTCCTCAAAAAGCAGAATCAGTCTAAAAACAGGCCTTTCCAGCTTGGTAGGATCAGTTGGTGCTTCTGTTTTACTGGCATGGCCTTAGGGCTTAATACAATGCAATGTAATATGATGTTATATAACAAGACGTCATGTTATATAATGTGATGTGACATGATATACAACGAACATTTATGTAGCATGTTGAAGTCTACAAAGTGCTTTACACGTGTTATTTCATTTGGTCTTCACAGCAACCCTGAGAGGTAGATGTTATTATTATTCCTATTTTATAGTTGAAGAAACAGAGTCTGAGAGAGAGTAAATGCCTTGCCCAGGGTCACACAGCTAGAAAGTGTCTGAAGCAGGATTCAAACTCAATTGTTCCTGACCTCCAATGGACCAGTCCAATGTCCTAGCCTCTGAGCTACCTAGCTGGATGGAAATGAAACCAGATTTATTAACTCTTCAGTATCTCCTTTTTTGGTGGTTCTGGGGAGAAAGAGCTAGGCTACATGTCTTCAACTGATTTAGGAAGGAGAAAGTTTCTTGGAATTTGCCATTTAACCTGACTCTACTCTAATGAAGAGAGTCAGAAGAGTAAGTCCCATGTTCAGTAGTTTAATACCATTATTACCCATTTGGAAATCACTCCCTTACCCTGAGGTGTAGTTGCATGGTACCATTAGGGGCTTGGGATGAAACAAAATACATTCAGGGCATGAATAAATAACTATAAAAAATCTTTTTGGCATAAAAGCAAATAGATCCAAGAGGAAAATAGATTCATGGGGTGCTTACCCTTGCCTTTGCCTGAATCCTTGAAGAAAACCATCATTTACTAGCTTGCAACAGGAGCATGAAAATAGAAATATAAATTATCCGGAAACTAAGACTTGTTACTAATTATAACACAGCTGAGCCATAATTACCTGAGGCCTCAGGTCAGAGGGAGGCAGATAGAGCCCATAAGGGGTTTCAGATAGAAGCTACTCAGTTACAGGGGATTGTTGTAAATGGGTTAGTTCATTTTTTTTAAAGGAGGGGAGGGGGAGCAGAGCCTAGGATCTTTCGTGTTGCCTCAAGAGTTAATGAGCATTTCTGCTTTCATATATGATATTCATTGAAGATTGAAGAACTAGAAGAACAATGTAATGAGATAAATAAGGAGAAAGAGAGGAACGCACAGCTGAGCAAGAGACTGGAGGCCCTGGAGTCGGAAATTCAAGAAAAGGAGAGGGTAAGTAAGAATCAGCAGGATGGCAAAAGGTTTCCTGTGACCAGCTCCCATTGTCTGACTTCTGTCTTATTCTAGGAAGGTGCTTCAGGTAGACTTAGAGAGAAGGAACATCCCCACCCACCCACCCCTACCCCACCCCCAAGTAGCTGCCCTGGCTTTCTTATAGTAACAGTTTTTCCCCTAATGATAAGGTGCTGCATTAGAGGTGATACTATTGAAAATTTTAAAATGCATTATTGTAAATTGGAAAGGGAAATCATAAAGGACTTAATAAGGTTAAACTGTTTATATTTCCATATAGGAAGATGATATTTGTAACTCATAAGACCTTTCTCATTATTAGGGTAGTTAGAAGGAGTATATGTAGACAGAGGGTACAGGTTCAATATGAAGGGATGATATCTAAAAAGCAAAATTAAGGGGTGAGAGAGCAATGTACTGGAAGGGGAAAAAAAGGTAGAGGTAAAATGGGGTAAATTATCTCACATAAAAGAGGTAAGAAAAAGCTTTTACAATGGAGGGGAAGAGGAGGCATGTGAGGGGGAATGAGTGAACCTTACCCTCATCAGAAGTGGCTCAAAGAGGGAATAATATACACACTCAGTTGAGTATAGAAATCTATCTTACCTGGCAGGAAAGTTTGAGAGAAAGGTGATAAGAGATAAGAGAAGGGCGGTGATAGAAGGGAGAATAGATTGGGGGAGGGGGTAGTCAGAAGCAAAACACTTTTGAGGAGGGAGAGGGTGAAAGGAAAGGAAGAATAGAATAAATAAGGGTGGGGGGGAATAGGATGGAGGGAAATATAGGTTTTGGTTTTTTTTTCTTTTGGCTAGGCAATGGGGTTAAGTGACTTGCCCAGGGTCACGCAGCTAGTGTGTGTTATATGTCTGAGGCCGGATTTGAACTCAGGTCCTCCTGAATCCAGGGCCGGTGCTCTATCCACTGCGCCATCTAGCTGCCCCAGGAGGGAAATATAGTTAACAATAGTAACTGTGAAAAAAATTTTGAAGCAAGTTTCTCTGATAAAGGCCTCATTTCTCAAACATAGCGAACTGGTCAAATTTATAAAAATAAGAACCATTACCCAATTGGTAAATGATCAAAAGATATAATCAGTTTTCAGATGAAGTAATCAAAGCTATCAATAGTCATATGAAAAAATATTCTAACTCACTACTGATTGGAGAAATGCAAATTAAAACAATTCTGAGGTACTACCTCATACCTATTAGGTTAACTAATAGGACAGAAAAGGCAAATGACAAGTGTTGGAGGGGATGTGGGAAAAATGAGACATAAATGCACTGTTGGTGGAGTTGTGAACTGATTCAACCATTCTGTAGAGCAATTGGGAACTATGCCCAAAGGGCTATAAAATCATGTATACCTTTGACCTAGTAATACCACTATTAGGTCTGTATCACAAAAGGGATAAAAAACAAAAAGAAAAAGGACCTATATGTACAAAAATATAGGAGCTCTTTTCTAGGGGTAAAGAATTAGAAATTGAGGGGATACCCATCAATTGGGGAATGACTGAAGAAGTTATGGTATGTGATTATGATGGAATACTATTATACTGTAAGAAATGATGAGTAGGATGCTTTCAAAAAAACCTGGAAAGATTTGCATGGGCTAATGCAAAGTGAAATGTGCTATGTACAAAGTAACAGCAATATTGTAAGATGATCAACTGTGAATGACTCAGCTATTCTCACAATACCATGATCCAAGACAGCTCTGAAGGGTGGGGGTGGGAAGGGAGAGAATTTGGAACTCAAACATTTTAAAAAATAAAATACTAAATAAAAATGCTTTATTAAGTTAATGATGTCAAATCAAAACCATAATTTCACCAAATAATTTAGTATGAGGTCATTTTCTGTTTTCCAAAGGCTTGCAGGGTGGCCTTTGGGGGAATCTGGCATTTTTTTAAAATTTCAATGTCTGGAATACTTCCTCTGTTCTTACCTCTTAGCATCTTACAGTAGAACTCAGTCATTGGAGTCAAGAGATTTGACCAAATTGTGTTAACAATACTTATTAGTGGGCCTGTCCCTTCCTTGTTCTTTTCCTCATCATAACTTTAAAAAAAAAAGCCCTTTTTATTGTTCCTTGGGGGCGTTAGCCCACTTAACATTCTTACAGATTCATGCCATCCATTTTCTTCATCCTCAGTTATATGCCCTTCTTCTCCATCCTTTGTACAAAGCCTTTTGAAAACTGAGCTCATCAGAGGGCAGCCTGTGTAGTGACACTGTTTGTAACTAAGAAACATAAACACATTGAGATTTACCCAGAGGAGAGGTGCAGTAAATACTTATTAGTTGATTTATAAAATTGAATTAAACTAGGATAATGAGATGGGTTTATAATAAAGCCTACCATAAAATAGTATTACACCTGAATACTCATAATAGAGAATGCTTTTTGTTTTTTAAATAGAAAGGAGTCCACATTTAAAAAAAAGTCATATAAGTTAGAAAATTAATTGAACAGTGAAGCAATAGATGTTACTTTTCTTGCTTTCTGTTGCTACCCACTGTCAAGATTGCTTGTGTAGTGAATGTTTGGAGTAACAGCACATTCAGAGGCAGCATGACATAATGAATAGTCAGCCAGCCTCAGAGCCTGGAAGGACTTCGTTCAAGCCCCACCACTGATGTATGCTGGCCCTCTGATCCCAGTGTTCTAGGTAAACGTCTAGGGGTAAGTTACAGGGAAGGTACCAACATATACTGGTAGAAGGAGTTTTTTCACTCAGGAATTTCCCAGACCAATTAAGTCACAAAGTCCAATCTCTATTCCCTATTCCATAACCCTGCATGCACACAGTGTAATAAAGAAACCAGAATCTTGCTAGTAGTTGTTCAGTCATTTCAGCCGTGTCTGACTCTTCGTGACCGATTTGGGGATTTTCTTGGCAAAGATACTGGAGTGGTTTTCCATTTCCTACTCCAGTTCACTTTACAGAAGAGGAAACTGAGGCAAACAGGGTTAAGTCACTTGTCCAGGGTCACACAGCTAGTAAATGGCTAAGGCCGAATTTGAACTTGGGAAGATGAGTCTTCCTGACTCCAGGCCTGGCATTCTATTCACTGCACCACCTAGCTGCCCATGTTTAAGTGTCAGGTCCCAAGAGAAATATGAAAAAGGGTATCCCTACCCTCATAACCCTTTTTATATGTAGTGTGGATGATCTTTCCTTCAGTGGTCACCAGGTCCCTTCAGGGCTTCTTTAAGCATTTACTTCTCTAGATCCAAGGCCAGTCTTATCATTCTAAAATAGTTTAATTTCAAGGGTGACTCCTATTTTAGTACTATAAAATAGAAGATTTTGTGAGTGTGAACACTACCTCCAACAACATGGGTTAATATGGTGGAAAGGAAGCTAAACTTGGAATCATAGGAGCTGGGTTCAAATCCAAGGTCTGCCAACTTCTACCTATGTGACCTTGGACAAGTCTTGAGGCCCTTCTAGGCCTCTATTTCCTCCTCTGTAAAATGGAGGAATTGGATTAGATGACCTCTAAGGTCCTTTTCAATTCTAGATCTATGATCCTAAAAGTTGCTATTGGCTGAAAAATTGAGTTTGTTCTGACTCAGACATTGGACATAAAACCTATGCTAGGCCTTTCCAGCTCTGAATAGAACCCACGTGACCTCATACTCCAGTGGCATACCCTTCCAGAACTCAAGACCTACCACACAAGGAGGCATTGGATTGGGTCATTTAGTTGAAGTCAGGCATATCTCATTTTTTCAGAAAAATCCTTTCCCCACTGTTTGAAATTCTACTTGAAGAGTTTTAGTCCTTTTTTTAAAATTAATTCCTATTAAGAATGCAAATTCCCCTGGGAAGGGTCTAGGCACAGTAATCAAATGTAATTTCTTGTAATGGCCCAAAGAGTAGAATTGAATGTGAGTCTGAGGAGAGGGAGAAGGACACCATTCAAGAGACAAAGAACACAGAAAGCTGAAAGCAATAAGCACTAAAGATGGCCTTCTATAATTTTTCTTGGTGTTGTCCCTGTTATCCCAGTGGCACTGTGAATGATGGCCTCTGGGACTCAGTAATAACAGCAATTCTAGAACAACCAAAAGTCTCTTCAAAAGCTCTCCCACATATTAGAGTAACAATCTGGATACATCCTTGTTCTCCTGTCATGTGAGGGTAAGTCAGAGTTGGACTACCCTGTGAATATGCCTCATTGACTTGTGGGGTTGCCTGTACTTTGTATACTTTGGTGGAGGAAGGAAGATGAGGAGAAAATTTAAGTTAACAGCCCTTTGTCTGAACATCGTGGGAATTTGTGAGTATGCCTGAGAAGGTACTCTGACAGTGAATGTGTAAAACAAGCTGTGCTGCAAGATGAATAGAACCAAAGGACAAATGGAAAATACTCCATCTTAGTAATATGAAAATGGCAATATATTAACTCACTAAACCAGCATAAACTCAAGGCCAGATTCTTGTCAGTGATGTAAGATCAAATTTCATAGCTCTGCAGAGCAACTTTAGAAAAGAATTTCTCCCCAGAAATGTTTTGCAAAGTTAAAGAGACAAGAAAATTAGTGTTATAAAATTCACTGAGTTCCTGGACATTAGCTACATTCTGTCTCTTTAATGTTACATGACCTCAAAAAGAAAGTTTTTAGAATTTGCCTTTTAGTCTTTTCCATAATCTTGGGGTTTGCCTCATGGAGTTCTCCCTTTGCTCTGTAATTTTAAAAATTTCTATTTATAGCCCTTATTTTTATATTACCTTCATTTCCAAATTTATCCTTCCCCTTTCTGCTACCCAAAGAATCATCTTTTTCAATAAATAAATAAATGAATGAATGAATGAATGAACCAACCAAAAAGAGGGAGAGAGCAGTTTAACAAAACCAACCAAGACATCAACTGAGTCTGTGAACATAAGTAATTTTCCATGTCTGTAGTCCCTCCCCCTCTACTAAGGAAGAAAGCATTTTTTTCATATCTTTTTAAATCCCAAGTTTGATCATTATAATTATATAGCATTCAGTTTCTCTTTTTTGTATTCTTTCGATTTAGATTGTTATAATTATGTATATTGTTTTCATAGATTCACTTTTTTTTCCTGCATCAGTTCATATAAGTCCTTATGGTTCTCCAAATTCTTCATATTCATTATTTTCTATGGCACATTAGCACTTGTTATATTCATACATCATAATTCATTCCCTAGTTGATGGCATCTACTTTGTTTCTGTTCTTTGGTACCACAGAAAGTACTGCTAAGAATATTGTGGTGAATGTGGAATATTTCTTCCTGTCTTTGACTTCCTTGGGATAAATACCTAGCAACGGGATATGTGATTCAAAGAGAATGGACATTTTAATTCCAAATAGCTTTCCAGAATGGTTGGGCAAATATAGTGCTTCACCAACAGTGTATTAGTGTGCTCATCTTTTCATAGCCCTTCCAGCATTGAAGGGCTTGGTCCCCCTGCACTTTAAATAATAATAATAGATCACATTTATACAGTACTTTTCTCATATGATTCCTGTAAATTAAAAGTGCCCTTTCCTCTTCTTGATCTGCTCTGTGAAAAGAGTTTGCTATTAATCATCTCTTAACTTTGAATTTAAGACTCTAGATTTTCCATTTCTAGGAGTATTTGCATTTTAAGCCTCACCTCTAATTGTAAAATGAAGCCTATATGCTGTTTAAAAAAAAAAAAAAGAACTCTTACATCATGGTATCAACTTTTCCAGCCATCATGGGAAGTTTTGAAAAGGAAATCGGTATTGATTACTTTATTTTTAGTTTGATTTTGGAATTAAACTCCCTTCTTTAGGAAAAGGTAGCCCTAACAGCTAAATCAGGCTAGATTGAATAAGACTTCATCATTTAGTAGGAGATAATTTAGAATAAGATATGTATCTTTGTGGGAATAAAATAATCATAAGATTATGTGACTTTTTTTAAAGGCTAAGTTCCCCCTTCCTGCAGCTGGAGAAGGGGGGGTTGACCAAATTTAAGTTCCTCTTTTCAGTGTTTGTGGATAAGATCCCTTTTTTCTTGAGCTAGAGTCTAAATTGAGTAATGGAATCTTGGCAGCTGAAAGATGGGAGGGGAGTGATGGCTAACCACAAACCACAAGCTCCCTTTATAGGGAGCTTTCTCCTTGCTAAAGGTATCACCTGAAGGGCAAGAACTTCTGGGGTAATCTCACTTTGACAGCTAGGTGTTGCCAACAGTACAAAGAAAGCTTGGGTGAAGCAAACTAGTCAGATGACCTGCCTTGACCAATTGAATCATGTTTAAAACAAGTTTCTGTAATTTTTTTTATTCCTCTCTTCTGTTATAAAAATCAGCCTGTATAAATCATTCTATAAAATCTTTGTCTCTGACAACTGAATCAGATGACCTAATTTGATATGCAAATGCTACCTTGTTTTTTTCAAATGCTAGCTTTGAAAATTAAGTCATAATTGCTCAGTAAATTTGTACCTCAGTTTCTTCTTATTTCAGATAATTTGAAGTATTTTGCAGTGTTTTATTTGGGAAAATACTTTCCTTAAAATCAAACGATTAGTACCCCTTTCGGATGTGAAATGTGGGAGATAGAACGTTCCTAGTTCTAACTTTGAAAAATCCCTTCTGATGAGATTACTACCAGGATTCTTGTTATTTCCATTTAAAAATTGAACTAATATAAAATTGGCTTAATTTTATGTTGACTGGTAGTTAGAAATTGGAGCAGCTAGGTGGCATGGTAGACAGTATACCAGGCTTAAAGTTAGGAAGACTCATCAAATCTGGCCTCAGGCACTTACTAGCTGTGTGACCATGGGAAAGTCACTTAAATCTTGTTTGCCTTAATTTCCTCATCTATAAAATGGAGAAGGAAATTGCAAAACACTGTCTTTGCTAAGAAAACCTCAAATGGAGTCATGAAGAGTTCAACACAACTGAAAATGACTGAACAAAAAGTTAGAAAATAATTCTGACTTTATAAATTTAGAATTTTACTGTTCTTTGTGTCGAAAAGACAATTTAGTTCTAATTGTATTAGTTTGGCGGCCAAACTCAACTCATGATGATGGCTATTTATTTCTTTTTAAAATAAATTGCATTTATTTAAAATTATAATTTTAAAGAATATTTGAATATTAATTAATTAACCAATAATCAATTAATAATTTTTAGATTATTAAATTTAAATTATATCAAATTATTAGGGCTATTTAATGAATAATTAATTTTAAAATTAATAATTAACTACTAATTGTTAATATTAATTAACACATTTGTGATATTATAGATAGTTACATTATTCTTTAAGTTGTTTTTTACCTTGCCCACATTTTCCAATGTGTCCATCTCCTTCCTTCCCTTCTTCCTTTCCCACAGAGCTAACCTTATAACAAAGAATAAAAGGAAAATAAGACAATTCAACAAAATTAACTAGTACTTCTAAAAAGTCCTAGATTGTATGAGTGTTCCACACCCATAGTCCCTTTACTGTTTCTAAGAAGCTTCTAAAAAGTATAAAGCTACCTAAGGTACAATCTAGCCTTGTTAATACCCTATATAAAAATGTTCACTCTATACTTATCTTTATGGTTGATTGCTATGTTAATATTTTATACTTACTCTGATTTTGTCAATAAGTGTGAAAAGTTGTCATTGTTCATGTTTCTTTATTTTTATTTCCTGTTCCATTTTTTCCAACAGGAATTGAAAGATCTCCGAAAACAAGGTGAAATCATACCTCAGCTCATGTCGGAATGTGATTTTGTCACAGAGAAATTAGAGGTACTGGTCAGAAATACATCTAACAGAGGGTATTGGGGAAGGCACTTGTTTTATTAGTATCTTGTAGCTTCACTTCATTTAGCTTCCTAGATGCTAAAGGTTAGGATTTTTTAATTCAGAGGAAGCGAGTAGTGATGGCATTCCTGGTGCTTTGCCCCCAGAATTTAAGTGCAATGGGATTTGTCTCTTGGTTGTTTTTGTTGTTTTAATCCTGTTTTAAGAAAGCTTCTCCTTAATTTAAGGGCAAAGTCCAAGACCCACTACATCAGGGTTACACAGGCCTAATGTAAATTTCAGTAGCAACAGAGAGGGTGACTGTTCCAGATATAGTAGTTTCATTCCAAGTCACATCAGGAACCTGTCTAAGCAACAAACTTACTTTTGAAGTAAATGCCTCTGCAGTTGGTTAATAAATAGTTTCTGGGCATATTATCAAAATAGTCACATTTTACAAATCCACAGGACAAAATATTATGAAACGTCTAATTTGATACTAAGAGTTTAAACCCAGGTGAAAAATGTTACCAAAATAGAATCACTGTGACCAAGGAACCTTTACAGATTCCAGGAGATTTTCCCAAATAATCTTTGTTGACCAAATTTATTTCCAAAGGTGAGATAAAATATTTGTAAAATGCTTAGCACAATGCCTGGCACATGGTAGGTACTTTATACATGCTAGCTATCATTATTATTATTATTATTATTATTATTATTATTATCATCATCATCATTATGATGATGATAGTGATGATGATGATGATGATGATGATGACGATGATAGTCTTTTCAGAAACATAGCCACAGGTGACAGTAATGATGAGATCTTATGCTGGGGGTCTCATGGTACTGAACATTTTGGTTTCCACAACATGTGTTTCCAGCTTTTCATGGAGTATTTAAAAAAACTCAGACAAGGGCAACTTGGGAAGTCTGGGGTAGAATGTCATATCCTTTGTTTGGGGGTTCAGTTTCCCTCAAAAAATGGCGACGATGTCTGCCTTTTTGATCTCTCAAGATTATGCAGTTGACAATCTGTTGTTGGGATTTGCCTTGGCTCTTTGAAAAATATCATTCAGTCAACCTACAAGCATTTAGTAAGCAACTACTATGTGTCAGCAATTATACTAGTCACTGTGGATACAAAGACAAAAACAAAGCAACACTGGCCCTCAAGGAACTTCATTCCAATGGAAGACACAAGATGTCCATATATAGGCACATATGAATCAATTACAAAGTAAATGAAGGTAACTTTGAGGAGGAAGGGGCGCTAGTAGTGGTTGTGGAAGGGAAGGAAGGGTGCCTGAGGTGAGCCTCGAAAGAAAACAGTGATTCCAAGAGGCAGAGGTGGCGAGGGAATGCAATCCAAGAACGAGGGACAGCCAGGGTTAAGGCTTGGCAGGCAATGAGTGTCCTGTTTTAGGAACCACAAAAAGGCCATTTTGATTGGACCACAGAACATATGAATGGGAGTAATGTGTAATGCAGCTGGAAAGGTAGGATGGAGCCAGATTGTACAAACCTTTAAATATTAAACAGAGGAGTTTATATTTCACCTTGGACATAATATGGAGCCACTAGGGTTTATTGAGCCCCAGGGCAGGGGTAGGGGAAGGTGTGGCGACCTGGTTCAACCTGGGTTTAAGGAAAATCACTTTGGCAGCATTGTGGTGGATAGGCTGCAGAGAGAAAAGACTCAAGTCCAGGAGACTAATTAGGAAACTATTATAACCGTCCAAGTGAGAGGTGATGAACATCTAAACTAGGATGGTGGTTGTGGGAATGGAGAAACTGGATTCCATTTATCCATGCTTTCTTTCCCTGGTCCTCACACCTGAAAATAATTGAGACTATGCTGTTGGATGTCTTTGCCATTGATGGTGTTCGTGATTACTAGCCTTCCTGGCTTCTTTTTGCTTTCATTCCAGGCTTCTGAGAGAGAAAATCAAAATCTCGAAGATAAAGTGAGGTCTTTAAGGACAGACATCGAGGAGAGTAAACACAGACAGCGCCACCTAAAAATGGAACTCAAGAACTTTTTGGAGGTCCTTGATGGGAAGATCGATGACTTGCATGATTTTCGGCGAGGGCTCTCCAAACTGGGAACAGAAAATTAGGGTGTAAGTTGTGATCTAGGCTCCAGGAGTTTGATGTTTGTTAACTCTAAGTGTGTGTATTACAAAATAGGAACAGGAAGTACACCTTGTCTGCATTTTTTTGTAAATAGAGGCTCAGAGTTTGTTGTGTTTTCCAATCACATGTGCTGCTCACTAACTTCTGTCCAGAATAGAAACCTTTGCTTGCTTCTCTGGGCTTGTGGACAGGTGGAGGATCCTGCCTCAGGAATCAGGAACTAGGTTTATGTTAAATGCATATGCAGTTAGTCAGTCTAGGGACATCTATATTTCTTAAGGACTGTTGCAGCCACAGAAACACGAAGTATTTTCTAATCCAACTTCCAAAATTCTAAGCAACCTGCAATTTCATTTCATTCTCTTTTGTTAAATGAGGTTCGAATTAGTTGGGATTCCTAATCTCATTGATCCGAAATATAATAGGGATGATTTCTGCTCTGGTACATTTTGGATTAGATGATTGTGAGGTCCTTTTGAAGTCTGTGATTCCTGGCAGGTATACATTAGCTTTGGGATAAGCTATCTAAGACTCATTGTGTATCAGTGTAGTGAATCCCTCATAGTAGAAGTTGTGATGCTTTAAAAAAAATGAGTTAATAGAAATTTCAGGAGAAGAAAGGGAATCAGGTTTTTAAAAAACATAGGTATGTCCTCTAAATCAGCGCACCATTTGCACATGTCATGCATCATGTGGTCTGCAGGACTGCAAAATAACTTTCCTTTTAATTATTTTTAACTTACAAGTGGACAACCATGATAAAAAAGCAACAGACCATGAAGGCTGAGTCTACGTGAAGAGTAGTATTGTAATCAAATAAAACTTATAACAAATTTCAGCTGGCACATATTTAATTTATATATGCATTATATATAATATATAATTGCATACCATTCAGTTGGATGCAGTGTGTGTGTATACATACATGCATACATAAATGCATGCATATGTGTGTGATATACACACGCATATATCTAATAACCTAATTACCATTCAGCTGGATGGTGTCTCTCTCTCACACACACACACACACACACACCCACACACACACACCCCCCCACACACACACCATTCAGCTGAATGATAATAGGCAATAAATAGTATGCAATTCACTTCAATGACATGTTACTTTTCCCACAGCCAAACCAAACCATTTCTGGGGTTAGTCAAGGGAAAATGGGAGGGAACTAGGTAGATTAGGAACCTGTGGATCCTAGAAATTCCAGGTGACTGCATATATGACCTTACTTCTCCAGTGGGGGACACCTACAGACAGATGCTCTGGGTGCCACAAGATGCCAGGTGCCACAAGATGCTATGTACCCCTAGGGCTAAGTGTGGGAGCCAGGAGCCCTTGATTGTCTTGACGTAAGTCAGGGCAGTAGCCACTACCCTAACGTGAGAATTTTTGCCTTTTATTTAGGTGCAAGGTTCACATCAGGGCAACCTCCTGTTCTAGGCTACAAGCAATTGGAGGGGGGAAAAGGGAGAAGCATGGCTGGAGTATCTTCCTTCTAGCTACCATCTCTCCTTTCCCATTAGGGCTGTCTCTCAGATCTCTGGGTTATACATGTGGAGGAACTCAGAGCATCTTCCTCTTCCTCTTCTATTCTTCCTTCAACTGAGGGGAGGGCTGTGGGGGAACACAAATACTATGTCCCCCCCACACCCACACACACACTTACTCTTACCATCCCTTCCCCCAGATGGCTTTAGGTTCCCTCATTAGAGAAGGTTTTCTTGTCTCCAAAATACCTCCCTCACTTTGCCTGAAGTTCTACCGACTAGACATTTATTTGAATTATCCAGCAGATGTGGGCTGGGGGTAGGAGTTAAAAAGGAGCTATCCTATAATCCCACTAACCCACTTTAAGTGAATACTCAGTACCCTACAGCTTCGATAGGAGAGAAAGACAGGTAACTGCAATGAGGTCTTGGAATACACATCCAGAAAACTTTCTCAGTTTGTCCCAAGCTTATGGTATGTTTTTAGAGGAAAGATGCCTGTAGCTGCCTTTGTCCCTAGACCATAAATATATGTTTCATTGCCCAGGAGTCACCATGCTTTGTTTTGGCTAGAGCCTTACTTAAAAGAAGGATATCAAAGGGGTTATTGTGCTCAAATGGCTGTCATCCCTAAGGAAGCTTAGTGCCTCTCCTTGAAGGGTAGAGGGTGGGAGAGAATTGTGCATTTAGAGTCTAGGATGGAGGCCAGCAGAGGTCTCTGTGACCAGTCACTGTCAGCGAAGGCCTTCCTAGAGAACACCGCTAAAGTTGTTCAGACCTCAGAACCAATGGAGCAGTTGGTTCAGATTTCCAGAAATTACTTTGAAATATGCTGTCTGCCTCAACTCAGAAACCCTTAAATGGTACAATGAGGGCAATAAATGACCAACATGGAACAACACAAAAGAAGATCTTGATGGAACATATTTTGGTCCCGCACTAAAGCCATTTAATGAGCATTGGTAAAGAACAAGGTGTTATAGAATAAGACACGGGAACATCTTTTGTGGAAAAGGTGAGTTTAGTGCAGTCTGAAGGGGGAAAAAACTTCATAAAAGAACCTATTGATAAATCAATTCTGTTTTTGTTTGAGAACTGCCTCAATGTTTTTCTTGCTTCTTTTTTCTTGCTCTGAGAAAAAAAGTCAGATGGAGTCCTACAGAAATTGGATGAGTAATTGCCAGTGTCTGATAGACTGGTATGTTGGGGTGAGTGTCATAGGGTAAAGGGTAAATTATAAGATTGAGTGTTTAAGTTTATTCTAGTATTGACTCATGAAACAATGATGTAGCAGGCACTAGTTTGATGATATACTTTTTCTCAGAGCAGACTTTCAAAAAGCAAAATTTTTTGACTAAAACGCTTTGCCTTAGATTTTATTTTAAATGGAGTATAATAAGGACAAAATTCTCCTAGATGTATTGGGATCCAAATTATATTGGACTACCTGCAAGGCTTAGAAATAAGAGTTTTTAGATTCAACATGGAGACTCTGTCATCAGCCTTGACTCATCCCTCCTTCTATATCTGTAAAACATGGTGCCATGCCTAAAAAGAATAAAATGATGTGGACTTATAAGGCTCCTCAGAATGAAAGAAAAATTACCTTGAGTGGTCAAGACGGTCACAATGAGGGATTGCTGAGAGTGTGTGCACAAAATCAAGCGGATTGGGATAAAGATAGTGGGATCTGGCTTCCAAGGGTTTGGGGAAACAGTTGTGATAATAGTCCTTTATGTTTTTGTGGTGTTTTATGGTCTACAAAGCCTTTTCCCATCTTCAATCTCATTTGATCCTTGCAATAACCCTTCTATGGGGAGACAGAGCAGGGATTCTTATTCCCATTTAACAGAGAAAGAAATTGACGCTCAAAATTTTGTGACCTCGCTTAGTGGTAGAGCCAGGCCTAGAAGAATCATCTCCTCTTGGTTCAGTCCTATTTTCTATGACAATATCCTGCCTTTCTATTAAAAATCTATCAAACTCAGAGGTGATTTTTTTTTCATAACCTGATTTGAGCTATAAAAACAATATTGTTTTGAGCATATAAGTATTGCTCTGGCTACTGTCTATAGCAAGAAAGAACAGGTAACTCTCTATTTACAATGACAATGAATATATTTAGTTTTTTAAAAGATTTGCATTTGATCACAGGTGTCATCACAGGAAAGCACTGGCTAGGTCCCTACTGTGAATGCAAGTAACCCTAACCCTAACCCTAACCCTTTTTTAAACATTCAAATGTAGTTTTTGTTTATATGTAGCACCCCTTTGGGTGTCTTTGCCTCCCCTCTTCAACTTGGACAAAGTCTGAAAGGGGATTTGATCCCTTAAACAGGTATTACTAGCAGAACAATTTATTTAAAATAAAATTATTAGGGGCAGCTAGGTGGCGCAGTGGATAGAGCACCAGCCCTGAAGTCAGGAGGACCTGAGTTCAATTCCGGCCTCAGACCAAACACTTGACACTTACTAGCTGTGTGACCCTGGGCAAGTCACTTAACCCCAATTGCCTAAAAGCAAAAAAAAATAAATAATAAAATAAAATAAAATAATTAGATTTACCTTAGAAGTATGAATAGCGTTCTTTCTCAAGAATTTCCCAATTCTTCCCTCATGTAGATTTTAGTCAGTGTCTTACAATTTTTCAAGCCATTCTAGTATCACCTTAAAATGAAGGGCTGTCAATACTTAAAGTAAACGTAATGATTACCTCATAGCACATCAATAAGTCCTTATGAAAGGCAGTTGGGCTCTCCTCTCATAGCCATTAGGTCGGTCTTCATTATGATTCCCAGCCTATGAAGAAGTGGGCCTCTGGGGAACTCTTGGTTAGCAGGCAATAACCAGGCACTTAAGGTGGAGGTAGAGGACATAAAAATTGCACTTCCCCAAACCGTGAAAAGCCATCCAGTTTCAAAGGCCTTCCTTTGCGTACTATGCTGTAGCGTCTTTGGCCACCACGCTGTGGGGGCATATAGCTAGGCCTGTAAGTGGCAAGTTGTAAGAACCATTGGACAGGCAGACCCTGAAAACAGAAGGCCAATAGGAGATTAAGGATTTAGCTCATGATTTTCTCTTTCTCTTTCTCTAAGGGAACAACATGGATGCTGTTAGATTTCAAAGTACTTTCCTGCACAACTAGATGTTGCTGGTTGTTTACTTGTAGTTTGGCTGAATTTGTTGTTTGCACTACATTTGAAAGCACAGACGGTTTAAATGGAGAACACTCATCAAGGTGCCTGTGTATTTTTGAGTTACACATATGATTTCAGAGCCCTTTTTCTTGATCAAGTGGTTACCAAAAGAAATTTATTTATACTACTTGTCTACTTGTGTGTATGTGTGTATAGAGATGTGTGTGTGTGTGTGTGTGTGTGTGTCTGTTGTATATATGTCCCTTAAATACCTCTCGTGGTGGCATCTATGACATGAGCATGGTGCCTAAGAAAATGTTTTTGATTTTCAGTTTAAATACTGGTCAGCAATAATTTTTAGTCACAGACCAGCTATGAAAATGGCTATTCGAAAAGAATTTTGAGCTAAAATCCTGGGGATGAGAGTATTGAATAACTTAGGGATAAAGGGAGGTGGGAGAGGGTTGTTAGGGTGAGACAAGGCTTTCTGTACTGAAAAGAGAAGTTTTTTTTCTTCTCCCTAATGGATAGGGAGAGAGAGGGAGAGGAAGAGGGAGAGGGAGAGGAGAAGAGAGGAGAGAGAGAGAGAGAGAGAGAGAGAGAGAGAGAGAGAGAGAGAGAGAGAGAGAGAGAGAGAGAGAGAGAGAAATGACATCAGAGTCAGAAAGATCTGGTTCAAGTCTTGCCTAGGCAACCCTCTAAGACTATATAAGTTGCCAAGGTGATGACCTGCATTGGTAGAGAACATTTCTTCACCCTGTACCAATGAAAATCCAAGGTCTTGTCCCTAACAGAATAATGCTGCATAATACACTCTGCAAATTATTTATGAGAGGAAGAGTTTTATTGGTTGTGTATAGGCTTCCCCTCCTGCCCCCTTCATTTAGATGTAATTCTACAGAATTTAACTCTTTTTAAACCTTCATCAAGAATAATTGACTCCTCGTGACCGACCACAGGGTTTTCAGACCTGTCAGGAGACTTTGGTAATAAAGACAGTTTCCAAGCCTGCATTTTTGTTATTATGAGTAAAAATTTTTCAAATACTTGAGAACATTATTGATATACAGCGATGGGCAACATTGTCACCTCAATTGTCATTTGTACCCTCTTTTAATATATTTAATATATGAAGAAACATGCTGAAGTATTTGGTTAGGTTGTTAAGAAGTCTTTTATGTTGTCAGCTGTGTGCCATTAACCAATAGACATTTCTCACATCAAATACAAGAATTTAACAGTAAATGCAGATGGGGTCGATTGGTTTACTGGTATCAGTAAAGTCTGTTTTTTTTATATATGTGTGTAATTTAAGAACAAAAAAAATACTTTTCCTTTGAGAACTTATATACCTTTGTGATTTTTATCTGATTTTCTTGTATATATAGAGTTGTTTTATGTAAAAATATATAGTTTAAGTAAAATGTCTGTGTCTGTTTTATTTTTTTCATAAGTAAGGGATATCTTAGCTCTGCATGGATTTTGGGTATCATCTTGGGATCACCTATCTGAAGTCATCCCCAAGGCTTGATTGCTTTCATGGGTCTCTGTACCATGACATAGGGAGGGCTATTCAGACTTTAAAAGCAGGTTCTAAAAAAATACAACAAAATGAAAATCAGATTCCCCACATCGGATGCAATTCTGTTGGAACAGCACATTCTCTCAGTCATCAGTTCTTCCAAAGCATAAGCTAAGGCACTTTGGGGACTGTGCTTTTCCCATCTTGCCTCCCTTCTGGCACAATTAAAAGGGGAGGTTCATCTCTTCCCCAGGAGCTGTCCTTGTCACTCAGTAACCAGTTGTCCCTTGAAACTTAAAAGCTTTGATGATCCTGCACCTCTTCCAGAGAATTGGGAGTTAAGCCTCTGCTATGTTCTCTTCAGGACAGCCAGATGGCACAGTGGATAGAGCACTGGGCCTAGAGTCAGGAAGACTCATCTTCCTGAGTTCAAATCTTGCCTCAGACACTGCCAAGCTGTGTGACCCTGCGCCAATCACTTAACCCTGTTTGCCTTGGTTCTTCATCTGTAAAATGAGCTAGAGAAGGAATAGCAAATCACTCCAATATCTTTGCCAAAAAAAAAAAGGCCAAAATGGGGTCACAAAGAGTGGTTCATGACTGAACAACAAGAACTACAACAAAGCTTTCTCTTCAAAGAATGATTCAAGGGAATATATTTATAGGGTTCTCCTTGCCCTCTTTCTCACTACCCATCCAACCAAATTTTTCTCAAGTCCCAGATATATTAAGCTTTATGTGAATATACCTAGATTGCAGTCATATTTGGGGTGAGGGTTTTGGCTTTTTTAAAAACAGTTTAAAGAAGGAATGATTGAAAGAAACAAGTATTTATTAAATGGAGTCTTCTTGGATGGCTTTCTCGAAAGACTTGATTTTCAGCAATCTAATTAGCCCTCCCTATTTTCTGTTACTGGAAATAGTGCTTACCTGTCTATGTTCAGGCTGTTTGAATAATATAATGTCATCCGCAGAATTGTGAGATATACATGTCCATCACCTCCTGATGGTGTATAAATAAACTGCAGTATACCTGACCATAAACTACTGCCTTATTCTTTCAGTGGCTAGCAAGTATTCTGAAAATTCTTGCAATGTAAAGATCAAATGAGCTAATATTCAAAGTATTTTTCAAATTGTGAAGCGCTTTTTGTAAATATTAGCTGTTACTGTAAATTTTCCATCATGTGCAAGGTCTTGAGACTGGAAAAGTATTGTAACTATGTTAGAGGAGGAGCCAGTGGCATAATGGAAGGAGCACTGGATTCTGATCCCACTCCGGCATTTAGATCTATGCGCCCTCAGGCAAGTCCCTACTCAAATCACTTACCCTCTCTGGGAGGAGGTAGAGCTAGATGACTTCCAAGGTCCTTTTCAGCTTGAAATCTATGATTCTATTTGGGGGACAGAATTGTCTCTTCCTCTTCTCTTGTGACTTGGGCCAATCCACCTGAGAAAACTCATATATAATTCTTTAAAAATCATTCTGTTTCTAAGTGATATTTATGTAAGCATTACTTGTAATGGGGATAAACTAGAAGCTTCTCAGTACAATCAGGGGTGAAGCAAGAATGCCTATTATCACCTCCATTATTTAATATTGTACTAAAAATGTTAGCTATAGCAATAAGAGAAGAAAAAAAGAAAAGGAATTAGAATAGGCAGTGAGGAAACAAAACTATCACTTGACATCATTTCAGATGATACAATGTTATATTTAGAAAATCCTAGAGAATCAGCTAAACAATGACTTGAACTACTTGAAATAATTAACAACTTTAGCAAAGTTGGAGGACACAAAATAAACCCACATAAATTGTCAGGATTTCTATATATTACCAACAAAGTCCAGCAGCAAGAGACAGAGAAATTCAATTTAAAATAACTGTAAACAACATAAAATACTTGGGGAGTCTACCTGCCAAGAAAACCCAGGAACTATATGAACAAAACTATGAAACACTTCACACAAATAAAGTCAGACCTGAACAATTGGAAAAATATTAATTGCTCATGGGAAGGCAGAGTCAATATAATGAAAATGATAATTTTATCTAAATTTATTCAGTGCCATACCAAACTATCAAAAATTATGGAGCTAGAAAAAATAAAATTCATCTGGAAGAACAAAAGCTCAAGAATATCAAGAGAATCAATGAAAAAAAATGCAAAAGAAGGTGGTCTAGCTGTACCAGATCTCAAACTGTATTATAAAGCAGTAACTATCAAAATAATCTGGTACTGACTAAGAAATAGAGTGATGGATCAGGGGAATAGATTAGGTATAAGTTACATTATACTAAATAGCCATAGTAATCTGGCATATGGTAAATCTAAAGATCCAAGATTTTGGAACAAAAATTCATCATTTGACAAAAACTTCTGGGAAAATTGGAAAGCAATATAGAAGAAACTAGGTATAGACCAACATATCACACCATATACCAACATAAGGTCAAAATAGGTACATGATTTACATATAAAAGGTGATATCATAAGCAAATTAAGAGAGCATGAAGTAGTTTGTCAGATTTATGAATAAGGGAAGGATTTAGTACCGAAGAAGATATAGAGAGCATTACAAATGTAAGGGAGATAATTTTGATTATATAAAGTTAAAAAGTTTTTTCACAAACAAAACCAATGCAACCAAAATTATAAGGAAAGCAGAAAACTGGGGGAAGAAATTTGCAGCAAGTATTTGTGATAAAGGCCTCATTTCTCAAATATATAGAAAACTGAGTTAAATTTA